AACCAGGGGCAGGCAATTATTTTGGGTGGAGGGCCACTTTTTGGCAAGCCATCCAGGGCAGATTAATATTAGTTTTCAAATTTATTTAGGGGGCCTATGGGCTGAATAGATCGGCTTTGCAGGCCACATCCACCCCTGTTCTGAACCAGCAGAGCTACAACCTAGATACCCCATCATTTTGGAGGCAGCTAATAGGCCCAGCACACACAAAACCCAAGTTGGTTTTTTGGGGGTTTTAAAGAATTTTTTCCCATTCCAAGCCAAATCAAGTCCAAAACCATGAGTCAGTCCAGAACCATAAGTAGCCGTACAGCCGGCAAACATCCTCTACTCCACCTGGGGCTTCAGTCATTTCCAATGTCTTTTGGCAGGTATCCTACTTGCAGGGTTCAGCTGTCCCCCTGAGTTTCACCTGCTCAGCTGAAAGGCCACAGGAGCAAGCTAGGGGGGAGCCTCCCCCTTTCTATAAAATGGGCTTGAAGCCACAACACCTCAGTGGGTACTAAACCATGCCAGAAGAGTTATCCCCTGGCCACTTAAGGAAAACTGCCTTCACAGACCCAGATACATGGTGCTTGCCCTACATGCAAAAGCCAAGTTGTTCAGGGAGTCTTACCTTATGACTGCTCGCCTCAATAAAGAACTGCTTCAACTTTGATGAGCCAGTTTGCACTCATCCACTGAGGCTTACAGTGAATGATACAAAGTAAATAAGGCTTATTTGCATACTTTTTCACATATTTTTCAGTGTACAGTAGTTTTTCAGCAAATATGATCATTTTGAGCTTTCAATACTATAAATTTTGAGCTTCCAACACTGTAGTTCCATATTTAAGACCTGGCAACATTGGGCAGGATGGTCCCATCTGCTCCCTCTGCAGGGGCAACACCAGCTCCTACTGCAGTCATCCCTCCCCCTGGGAAATGGCACCAGAGCCTGCAGACACAGCCAGGGCCTGGACAGAGGGCTGTGCCACCCATGAGAGATCAGGGCTTTAAAAGGAAGCAGACCCACATATGATCAAGGCCATGGCTAAATGGGAGCCATTCAGCTCCCAGGCTTCATACATGTGCTTCCCTCTGCAGCCAGGAGGCACAGAGGCAGCTTGTTCCTGAAACTAGAAAAGGGGCTAGAAGTTCAGGCTTCGGGGCTGCTCTTCTTCAACAGCAGAAGAAACACAGAACAAAGGTTGGAAATTTTCTTTACATGACAGCCTGGGTCAGGGCAAAGGACACCTGCATGCCACCTACCCCTTCCTGCAAGGGGAGGAGAAATTCAAGTCAGCTTTGCAAAGAGAAAATGTTTATTAAGACAAATCAAAAAGAACAGCAATCATGGAAACAAGAACTCCCCACAGCTCATGTGAGATGTACAGGAATAAAACAGAACATTATAAATCAGCACAGGCAGGAGCAGCAGCTTGGTCATGGAGGATTCTTCCGTTCCCACCTTTGGCCTGCCTTTGCACAGCCACATGCTTTTGTTCCCTGCACTTAGAGCCAGCAAGCATCTTCCATGGATCTGACAATCATTCGTTTCTAGCAACGCCGCCCTTGATGCTACCAGTCCAGTGATCCTTACCACCCTCAGGGGGTAACAGTCCCAGTACACCTTGGCTCCTGGTGCATTTGCACAGCTCCAGTAATAGCTCATGCAACAGCCTACATGTAAAAATTTAACTTGATAGTGTGACCTAGTGAGAATATCTGTACTTGGAGGATATACCCAGATGTTGTAAGTTAAAGTTTAGAGCAAGACAGCCCTGTGAGTGAGGGCTACACCATACAACCCCTGTTCCTTAGCCCAGTAGGACCATGATTTTATTGAACTAGATAATAAAAAGTTTAGTTTAGGAGTGACACACAAACAGGAGGGGAGCCTAGGATATGGTGGCAATGGGGATAACTTACACATGCAGCACAACTTTGCTGTAACACAAACTCTTGGAATACAGAAGACCAGAGATTAATGCTACTGACATCCAACTAACACACACTCACTTGGTTTTTCACAGTCCAAAGGAAAGAGGGCATTTAAAAAACAAACAAACAAACAACACTGTAGTTCATCACATATAGCAGCTTAGGATCCTAGCCCAACCTGTGGCAAGGGTGAATTGCATTGTATAGAGAACAGATCATTTTTGTACAAAGCCCTTAATTTAATGGAAACAAGCTGCATGAAGAGGGAAAAAAATAGTGTCTAAACCTGAGCAAAGGGCTGGGGGGTGGGGGGGAAAGCTTTGTACATAAATGACATGATCTCAAATCTCACGTCTTGATTTTTTTTTCCCCAGTTGAAGGGGAGAAAAGTAAAGTTTTACTTCCCTTGAAAACTTGTAGAGGTTACTAGTGTGTGTGGTCCCCCCCCAATCTTCTGTGAAAGGGCATTTTAGAAAAAGTTTTTAAAAAAGTAGCTAAAACATACAAAAAAGGTAAATTTAAAGTAGAAAGAGCCCTTGCACGCCAAAAATACCCCTGTATTTCTTACAGCAGCTCCTGACCTTCACTCTATCCACTGCGGGGCTAAAAATAAATTCCAGTTTAGACCACAAACAAAACAACTCGGCAACATACCGACCCATGTATGACACTCATTCCAAAAAAAGTTTCTTTATAAAAAGCGTGGCCAGTCCCAGGTTTGTACTCATCCCTGGATTTCTCCACTTCCTTTCCTGACCATTGGCAAGGCTACAAGAATCCACAGCACAAAATTGTGGGAAGGGGAAGGGAAGGGAAGGGGTCCTGGCCTTCTTCCTTATGACCAGTGCACTGTTTCCCCACCCCCCCTCCCAGTGGAGGACAGATGCCTCCATAGTGGCAGTGGTCCTGCTCTTGGGAAGAGCTCTAGGTGCGCTGCATGAAACTAAGTAAGTATCCTAACCAACAAGGTATTTGGATTCCATGATGTTGTGTCACACTATACAAGAAACTATGGACTGCTACTGGCCTCAGCCAAGACAGCTGCTCCTGTAACAGAGCAGGCTCTGGAGAGAGAAGTCTGCTTCTAAGGTGGAGGCAGTTACTTCGTGATCATGTGAGAGGACTCAACTACAAACAAGTTACTGTCCAGCTGCAAAACAATTCAAGAAAAGTCAAGTTAACTAATTAAAAGAGCTTACAAGAGACATAGTGTTTGTGCATCTGCTCCTCACTACTGAAACAAGCCACAGTACCAATAAGTGCTAGCAGTGTTAAACTTCAAAATATCATTAAAAAAGAGGGAATAAATTCCTTGTTGACAGCTTCCCTATTCCTTCAGGAACCAAACAGCAGCCCTTACCATCAAGGGAAGGGGAAAAAGACAAGACACCAGAACAAAGGATCTTGGACAACTAAAGTGGCCCTTGCAATGTACAAAGAAGAACAAATCTCACTAGCTGCACTGGAAAGGAGAGATGCTCTGCTTTTAAACTGGGGGGAGGGAGAACACGAACGCACACCAGCAACACCCCTCAGCATAGGTGCTCATTCTTCTCCCACCTTGTTTCACACCTGAGAAACTCAACCTTACACATACACTTGTTCATCTCCCAGATGACTAAAGGCATAATAAAGTCTTTCAAGTTCTGCAGTTGAACCTATAGATGGTGCTCAAAAATCAAATGAAGCCGCTATAACCAGCATGCCCAGGCTAATAGCCAAGCCCCCCCCAGCTGGAAAAAGCTCTAAAGGAGCCTTTGTGACATTGGTTCTTTCCTGGAGTATCATCTGTGACCTGTCCTAAGAGGCAAAGGTCACTCCTTTCATTCTTACTTACTGTCACCAACTAACACACAAGAGATCTTTGCTTAAAACCCTTATTAAAAAATCACTTAGGCTGACTAGGCAGGATTGGGGTGGAGGTTTTGTACCACCTAAACCGAACATACTAGCCAGCGAGAAAACCACCAAACAAAACCCAACCCCCACCACACACACACACACACACACACACACACACA